TGACCTCCCGATTGTTCATGTGGATATATAAGATGTCGGTGTGAGAGAAACGTCTTGTCAACATCATGGCAGTTTCTCTCGTCACAACAGTCTTACTGTGTGGCTTGACAATCTTCTTTTTCCGTTTATCAAGACGAACACAGGTGCCTCAAGGTTCGTAATACATGCTTGTTCGAATCCTAGTCCATATTGAGTTATTTTTTAGGACCCCGTTTACCACCAGGACCTAAGCCTAAACCAATTATAGGTAATATGCTCGATATTCCCAACGACAGCGAATGGATAGCGTATGCCAACTGGGCAAAGCAATACGGTATGTGAACACTAAACGAAGTTGCTCTTTACCTCATGACTTTCACTATCTAGGGGAGCTTGTTTACGCGAATGTCTTCGGCACCCACTTACTGTGGGTCAATTCCAGGCAAATGGCCTACGAAATCTTTGAAAAAAGGTCTTCCAACTATTCGGATAGGCCGACGACCACTATGCTCAGTGAACTGTGCGTGCATTCCGAATTAAATTCGCAGCATTGATTAACATCTTTCGTAGACTCGACATAACGGAATGGAATATAGCTCTCCAGCCATATGGTACCTGGTGGCGGCGACATCGTCGGGCTATGCACATGAGCTTTCATGATAAAGCGGTCAAAGCATTTTTTTCCTGTGCAGAGCAAACATACGAGGTCAGTACCTTCAAATTCTGACTGTCGGGTTTGCTTATTGAGACGAGTAGGGAATTACTACAAAGGCTTCTTCGCTCTCCTGACAAATATAACGAGCATCTCTTGCACACTGCAGGGGCTATCATGATAGAGGTATCTCTCACATTATTTTATTATCTGGTGACTGATGACTGACACGTTATTAGATAGCATATGGAATTGAAATTCAACCAGAGAAGGATCCATATGTAGAAACTGCGGAGAAGGTTTCTCATTCGATAGTCGAAGCTGGGACGCCAGGCAAATTCCTTGTCGATATCTGGCCCTGGAGTAAGGTCCTAAATATCGCATCTGAACCTTATTAATGATATCCGAGAACAGTGAAGTATATTCCAGCGTGGGTACCCGGTGCCGGATTCCAGAGGAAGGCTGCCAGATGGAGACAATGT